GTGTGTTTGAGTTTGTGTGCATGTGTGAGTGACCCCAGGGCAGACCCCCTTTTTCCTACTCCTTGCCTTTCTCCTCTGCTCTGTCCCACGTTGAATATCCCCGAACACACACACACACACACACACACACACACACACACACACACACACAAACTGAAGAAAAACTTCAAAAACCATCAGGGTGAGCTCAGTCGACGCTTCCCCTCCACCTCAACTCCTCCTCTGCTCAAGTCGTAGTGTGTGCAAACATGTGTATGTGTTATTTAAGTGCATCTGTGTGTGTTTGAAATGCTACAGCCAGGAGAAGCGATGTTTTTGCCCGCCACAAACAGAGAGATATCTTCGTCCAGCGCTCCCTCCACCCCAACATCTGTCACTTTGATTGTGGGCACTTTGCAGGACACTCTGCCTCAACAGGTTTGGAGCCTCCCCCAGCCTGTTGCCCTCAGTCGACTTCGACACTGCCTCTTGGAGAAAGAGGCGATCCCTCCACTCGCTAGCACAGGAGAGGACAGGGGGACAGCCCCCCATGGGAGAAATGACAGTGCAGCTCCCGTTAATCTCCAGGACGAGCCCTGAAATGGCGGCAGGGGCCCGCCGCAAACACTAATCGTGGCCGACACACTGGTCTCCCCCTAAAAACGCGCAGACTTCCAGTCCAGTGCCGATCTCAGGCTCCAAGGAAAAGGGGCTAGTTCATTGCAAGATGAGCCTGACAAGGTTTAATTCTGTTTTGCTGTGAAAGAGAAAAAAAATCCTTCCCTGAAAAGCACAGGATGATGAGTACATATGTTGATTTTCAGGCTGCGAGCCATGTACCGCCACTGTGTCTTCCCATCAGGCCTTGGGACAGAGTGACAGCGGGATAGTGTCACGCTACACAGTGAATTCTAAAGTGCCACTGCATAAGGGCCTTAAGTGTGTTTATTTGGGTCTTTACCTTCCCATTTACTTCCATACTTTTTTACTGTATACCTTTTATTCTATTTTCTCCTTTCACCCCTCCTCCTCCTCCTCCTCCTCCTCTCCATGGTGGACAGCTCAGAAACATCCCGCCTCCAGCAGGCAGAGGGACAAGAAAGTGGTGGCGGCACCGGGATGGACGACCTGCTTGCAGCTCAGGGACTGAGGGAGAGACACACAGACAGTAAATGAGATAAGAAACTGGGTATGGAGACAGAGAAGGGCAGAAGCGGGTAGGTGGGTTGCTGGGCAGCAGGTCCTCTCCAACCACCCCCACCTCTCCTCAGGCCCAGAGGCCTTGGCATCCAGTGAGTAACACCCCCCCTCCTTCCCTTCCCTTTCCCCCCTTTCGCATCACCACCCCCCACCTGTTTAGAGCCACGGTGCAGTGAGTGGCGTTCAGCGCGTTGTGAACACAAAGCAGCGGCCCTGCGGCCCTCCGCCTGGACCTTGGTGTCAAGACCCAGCCAAGCTGAGAGAGAGAGAGAGAGAGACAGAGAAAACACGAGAGAGAGAATGGAGAGCAGCAAAATGCAGAATAATTATACCCAGTGGGTAATGCGAGCGCCGTCGTTACCAGGGCAGTGTGGTCGGGCCGGGGAGGAGAGAGACACGGAGGCAAGAGCGTCACCGGGGCAAGCTTGCAGGGCCAGTGGGCATGTTTGGTAAACCACTCTCACAGACCTCCCACTGCACAGCTGAAGCACCGTTTGTGGAAGAGCTGCAGGAGATCATCTGGATACAGGCGAGCACGTACGCACGGGGGGGGTGAAACACTGCTGCTTTGGTCCTGTGTGTACAGATCATATGTGGAAGTGTAACAAAAAGATGAGAGAGGGAGATTGTATCTTATATGAAAAGGAAAATAGATGTGGTTATGTTTATAGTGCACACTATGCTCAGGAACAGTACAAAAGTACAAAACAATGACTCAGTGGATTGGTTGTAGTATAGCCATGGATAATTTAAAGAGACTGTAACAGGAAATATATCTTTATATACATTAATTATGTTTATGCAGGACAAATAAATGTACTGGGGTCAAGAGGGAAAATCTGAACAATTTATAAGTCATTAATTAATTTCAGCTTCATTCATATTCTTCAACAAGACTAAAACAAATTAAACAGTATAAACTGAAATCTCATCATTCTGAACCATATGTAGCGTAGCATTTATATGACTATTTGTTTAAACTACTTACAGCAATAGGAATATGTAAATATTGTGATTCTCTTTAAGAAACTAATGAACTCAGCTAAACAGATGCTGAACTGTAACTAACTGAACTGAATTTAATAAAAGTTTAATGAAAGGCTTTTAAGCCTGAACAGAATTAAAACGCTATTATCTAATGTAGACAGCTACTGATAAATATATAACTGCATATATTTACCATGAATAAGTTTAAATTCTCTGTTATAACTTTGAACATTGTCTTTTCTTTTTTAGTGACAATGTTTGGAGAGTGCAGAAAGGCTTTGTGTTCTGTGCAGGGGTGTCAAATAAAAAACTGAATTCACTTAATAGACCTGTGGGACAGAAATACAGAGAAACACATGATCTGCTCTCGTGCAACGGGATCTCGCATGCAAACTGCAGCCCAAACATCAGGACGCTTGCAGATACTGATGCAGAAGGACACATATTTCCTCGTTATGTTGATGTCGGCTTGGCCCTCCAAATTCTTTAATGTTGTGGAAATCTAAACTTTGGACCAGTTTCAGAGTCGTGGAAGTTTGAACTTCAAAGTCCAACTATGTGAAGTCTTTAAAATGCACTACTTCAAACCCCAAGTTAATAGTGCATTTGAACTGCATTTAAATGTTCATCAAATTTCAAAATAAAACATATAATAAATGATTTAAGTTCACATTTTGTGTAGTTCAGAATATTTCAGAACTTGTTTTACTGACTCCAGACCTTAATCTTTGTATGCTACTAAGGAAATAATAAGACTTACAATTAACACAACTATTATCAATCTGTTATTAATATTGTTCTTGTCCTTTTTTTATTCTTTTCTATTTCTAGGTATTTTGTTATTTGTAAAAATGTTATTAAACTGTTGTTAGATGTTTTTTTATGGATCTACAAAATAAAGTGATATTATACAGTAAGTATCAAATAATTAATGAGATTATTTTAATATCTCTTTTTGCTGTATTTTTATGTTCCTCTGCTATGATTTAAATATGGTATAATTTAACTAGCCTCTCTCTCTCTCTCTAGTTGATTTTAATGTTTTTAATTTCACCCTGCAGAGTCATAAATAAACAAAACAACAAGATGCGCGTTCCTGTCACGGAGGCCTTCGCTGGGTCTGACGTGTTCTGTTGTCAGAGATCCTCTCGTGCTTCTTCAGTGCAGTGAAGGGCTTGTTTTTATCCCTCGGCTGTTGATCAATCATTTAATCTCTTTAATAGGCCCAAATCAAAACTAATGGTGCATGTAATAAGTGTTTAACTAAACAATGTGGACAGTGGGGGACTTAAGTGGTGCCTTAATGATTTTCTCTTAACTGAGCATGACAGTCCTAATGAATTTACGGCTCACAAACAAACTTTTGACAACCAATATGCAACGTTTGCCCCAAACATTGCCTCTTCTCACTCCTGCTGAATATCTGCATGTACTTTGCTCTTGCCACAAGTGCTGTGTTTATTAATATATTTATGCCAATATATTTGCATTTCTTAAAGTGTAATAAAAGCATTTGCTAATCCAAGATAATTCAGTCACGGGGGGGGGCGTTGCCAGCTCTGGGTTTTTAAAAATGAATGTGAGATATTTGGTTCCATCTTGTGGTGACAAATCTTCAAAGAAACATGATATAAATTCACTTGTATTTAATGTCTTATTCTAGCTAATTCACTAAGGTTAAAATATTGATGAATGAAAATGTTGTAAACCTATGAAACTAAATATGAATTGAGCTGTTCTAACAAAAAAAAGGGCCCTCTCTCTACTCCTACACAGACAATAGTGTGTTTGCTAATTTACTTAGAGGTAAGATTATCATACATTACTAATAGTTAAGGTATGACAATAGGAGGACTAATAGGTGTGATGGATTTATAGTAGCTATTCTTCCACTATTATCCTAGGATTATGTATTATTTTCACCTAAATAATCTTTGGCAGTAGGAGATCATTTAAAATCTTAGCAGAGCTCATGCACTATGACAAAGATTGTGTGAAGAGTACATATGATACCGTCACTAAACATTACATATATCCGATTCCACATTGAGTAACAAACTGTGGACACTCTAGTCCCCGTATATAGATTAGACTGATATTTATGACTATTGGAGAACCATGCCATTTCTCATAAGCCCCCCTTTATTAAAGGTTTATAGTTTAGTTTTGTGTAGTTCATTTTTTTATATATTACTGTCATACCAAACATCTCGCTGGGATCATAAGAAACTGCCATTTTACACAAACATAGCTCAGTTGTAACTAATGCAGTTATAAATGGTTAATAAATCATAAACTAATGTGTTGTATATTAGTGATAACACATTAACCACTTTTGGGTTGTGATGTTTTGAAAAATCCCTCTACTTGGTGCTTCTACTTTCTATTTGATAATAACGCAGTGTGCAATGTTTTAAGTGTAAAGTTATACTGAGTTATGCAGTTATGAAGCATTAATAGATGAGTTCTCAGCGATGAATGAAAGCCATTGGTTAAAATGTGATAGCCTACCAGGATTTAAATTAACCAGAATGAGTGCAAACAGACTTCGGAGTTGTAGGCCTGTTTGATTTTAAGCCACAAAGTGATAAACATGTAGGGTTTATATTTAAAAAGACACATTTATATATATTATGGGCCAACTGAGTGCATTTTAAACGGATAATTGTTGTGTGGAAATGAGTTTGAAAAGGAGGGTTTGATGTCCACCACAGAGCAAGACTGACATCTGCTGTCCTCACGCAAAACCTCAGCCTACACCTCTCTCTCTCTTTGAGATGTGACACCCCTCTTTCAGCTCTCCCTCTTGGTTCAGTCCACGGCCTCGTACCCGGAAGTAGTAGTAAACATTAGCATTGCAGTCAGCTGACTTCTTTTCACCTGACTGCAATTAGAAAAACACCATTGCATTTCTGTCCGCATACTACTATATTATTATAGAATAGGCTACGTTAATGACCAGTGGCTTAGTTGTGCTAACTAGTATTGCGCTCTCACAATTAGCTGCTAGTTAGCTTAGCATTTGGAGCATTTAGTAAGTGTGTAGCATTAGCTGGTTGAGCTAGCTGCTCCACAAGAGACAAAACACTGAAACCGACGTCAGCTGGGTAAAAATGGACAAGATTGCTCAAGGTGAGTGTGACATTGCGACAATTATACATTTTCTAGCATGCAGACTCCCTAACACAACATGAGCATGCACAGAGTGAAGTGTGCCTACAGTATTGTTTTAAACCTTTGCCACAGTAAAAATGTTGTTGTCCTGTGTGTCTGTCTTCTCGTTTAAATTCAATGTGAGCTGTGTTGGTCCTGCAGATGTGGGTGATATCCAGTCCCGACTGTTGGACCACAGACCGGTCATCAATGCAGAGATCCGCTACTTTGTGAGAGAGTTTGAGGTACATGAAATTATGATGTTGTGTTTTAAAGCTGCAGATCATTTCAGAACTCTATGATTATTTACCAATGAGAGGTGACACTGCACCTTTGTGTTTGGCTCTTGGATTCAGTGCCACTGAAGGCTGATACTGGACTTTTTGCCATTATTTAGATTTTTTATATCTTTCAACATGTCACTAGTTAGCTGTCACTTTCTTGCCAGTATTAGAAAAACATCAACCATGGATATTAAAAATCCTCTGAATGCACACATGTCATAAGGCACACATCATTTGTGTTATCTGTGACATGCTGGGTCACAAATAAGATTAAAACATATTCTTTTAGTTTTTATCTGTGTGTTTTAACCATGCAGCCCAACAAATGACCTGCACATTTCAATATATTGTATTTATCTCCACTATGAGCTATTTCATTAAGAACCTAATCTAGTTTACCTCAGGGAGTAAAAGATTCTGTCTTTGGTATTTAGTGCAAATTGACAAATAACCCCTTTAGTGGAATGATCTATTTATACAGTACTTTGAAAATACATTATTGTCTCTGATAAGACTGGAAATTATTTCAACTCATGTTTTTTCACTCATGTTAACGTAAGCGACATGTTATCACTTCTTGGCATTTTGGCCAAGATCAAGTGTACTATCTGTTCTTATCGTTTCATTATGTTCTCTATAAGGGAACAACATGTTAAACAGAGTTTTAGATTAGATTTTTACTCCATGCACTGACCTGATTTTGCAGTACCGCTGGGAACGCTGCCCCCTCAAATTTCCCCCCGGGGATCAATAAAGTATTTCTCATTCTGATTCTGACTGTTGGACTAAATGATAAGAAGCATATGATTTCAGCATGTGACGTGTGTGTGTGTGTGTGTGTGTGTGACAAAGCTTTCCTCTTCTGCTGTTTAGGAGAAACGGGGACACAGGGAGAGCAGACTGCTGGAGAACCTCAATAAAATGGTGCTGGAAACAAATGAGCAAATGCTGCCCACCAGTTTAGAAGCCATCGCCCAGCAGCTGTCTGACGTCACTAAACGATGTAAGTCTCTTCTCTCAGATTCACACTTTGCTAAAATTGCATAATGTAATGCTTGACCCGCCAATCTAATCAGACACTTGGATTTGTTGCCACGTGTTCAGAAAGAAATTGCAATTAACTATTTTATGTTGACCGGTTTACAGATGTCACATAATCCTGTGCCATTATCAAAACAATGAGCTGATTGTCGTAGGATATTCACCAGCAATGTATGTAATCTTAAGATAAGATGTAGATAAGATGTTCTTTTATTAATCCCCTGTGAGAGAAATTTGAGTGTCACTCTGCAGCAGAGGGGAATTGTAGTGCAAAAAGTACAGAAGTGTAAAGCATGTATAAAGAATAATAAACTAAAAATATTATAAAGATATAATAGAATATATAAAGACTGTAATGAAAATATTTTAAAAGAGTTGTGCATAGCAGGTTAAAGTTAACATCTAACATCTTAATATTATGAAATTAAGACATTAAAAAACACACACTTTAATATAATTGTACTATATTTTGACACAACAAACCTACTTTGCAATCTTAAAAGTTTTTTGTTAGAGTAAATGCACTTTTTGAATATAAATATTAAGATCATTTCTTTGCTTTTCTCCCACAGTGGAGGCTGCTAATCACATGGTGGAGCGAGTCCAGCAGAGGGAGCTAGAGGCACAGCAGGTAAAAACAACTCAAGATAAAGGACTTGGAGAGCAGGTGGACACAGTATCATAGCTGTGTGTGTTTATATTTCCAGACACCACAATGAGCCCCTATATCTGCCTTACATCATCAGCATCTTCACTGTAGTGAATGAATGTAGTCAAATTTAAAAACAGCTGTCTTAATCTCTTACTATAATTGTCCACAAAAAAACCTGCTCAAGCTGTGCAGTTAAAGTAAAGTTTTCTAAAGATACAAATTGGTGTGAGACATTTGCAAAAACTTTCTGCCACCTTTTTTGTTGCGTTCTCATCTTCCTGTGTCCCTCCAGAGCACCCAGCTGCAGGCGAACATGGAGCATTTGAAAGATGAGTGGGCAGAGTTTCTGAAGGAGCAGCAGAGATTAAAGGAGGAGGTGGATGAGGAGCACGCCAAGGCCGTAGGACAGCTCAGCACTCAGTACTGCGAAATGAAGAAGGACTTGACCAAGTTTCCACCCCTCTAATCAGCTGATGTTTGCGAGGGTGCGAGTAAACAAACACACCCTCTCTTATTACGCGAACACTCGTGTTTATTATGAACATGGACCGGCCCGTTCTGCACGTGCGAAGCGAAGCTATTGGCTTCGGTTGATGTACTTGGTGGTTGGCATGAAAATGTTTTGCTCCGGCACAAGACTCAACAATTTCCAAATCCTAAATATGAAAGTGATTAACAATGTGGCATTTTCACAGGCCATCAAACTCAAGTTTTCTGTCTTTAGCACATGGAATTTTCACAGCCCCTAAAAAGTCTGGAACATGTCTTTTTTTAAACAAGCAATCATTTGATTGTTCCTTGGCCGTGAAGTTTTCAACATTTCAAGATTTTTAATGGATGCCTGCCTGAAGGGTGCTGATGATAAATTTGCATCGGCCTCTAGTTGAAAGGAACCCTGGCGTTTGGCACCAAGGTGAGATATTCTAAGCACCGAAAGCGAGATCATTAAATGTTAGAAAAGCCCTTCTGAGCAGGTGTGTTTAAAGCACAGGTCATGTGTTGTAGAAACGAGCTCAAACAGAACCGTTTCCAGAACATATCATCCCTCACCAGCTCTCCGGTGTTTGGAACATTCGACCTCTGACATAAACTTCAAGTAAACCAACTGTCTATGAAGTAACTTTCATTATAAAAAGCTCTTTGCCGACACCAATTTGAATGATCAGCAGCAGCTGTTTTTTGTTTGCTTTGCCACCTCAAATCTGATTTCAATGAGTCACAAATCCAATATTTTCATTGCTGTTTAAACAGAGAAATCATAAATCATATTTTGTTTTCTGATTTGAACTTCCTTCTGGTTTTCAGTGCTTGTCTTGTTTTATGCTTAGAGTGCTTAAAATTAATGATAAACACAAACTCCATGTGTTCATTTGTGTTTAGCCCTTTCTGCTAACTAGATTAATTGCACACAGATGCACGTTTCAGCACAGCAAGCACACTATCTAAAAGTTGTAATATGAGCTATAAAAGAAGTGAAATCATGTATGTTGGTCTTGACCCTGATGATGTTGATGTTAGACTCCAGACAACGTTGGGTTGTTGGACAGGTTAATGGATGGGTGGGCACACTGGGCACATTCCTGGCATGGCTGAGAACAAAGTTCATCTCAGACAACGTAATAGAACAAATATTTTAGAACCCCCCCCCACCTCACCCTTTCACATCCCTCCACACACTCCTTTAAAATGCTGAGACACCTCAACTGCCAAACGTCACATCTGAAGAAGCAGGATTGGACTTCACCTCATCCATCAGCTGAAGTAAAATATTCTGTAAGAAAAATAAGAATAAAGCAAAACAAGCCAGCGTTGGAGTCCACTATGTGACAACACAGCTGAAGTGAACTCAGTTCTGTATCCCCTTTCACTGAAGCTCCAGCTTTTTTCCATTTTGGCCTGTGTGTGTGTGTATGTGTCTCTGTGTGTGTGTGTGTGTGTGTCTGTGTGTGTGTGTGTTAGAGAGAGACTCAGTGATGGCTGGCGTCAGAGCAGGACACGGTGGTTGCCATGTCATCAGAGATCAGAGAGGGCACTGACGTGCCAGCAGATGTACGTCTGTGTGTGTGTGTGTGTGTGTGTGTGTGTGTGTGTCTGTGTGTGTGCCCTCCGCCTTGGTGACTGCAGCTGTCCAACGTGGTGACAGCACATCATCAACTAACGAGGAGCGACAATACGGAAACGTGGCCCACCTCTGCCAGCAAGGCACCTTTTCATCTGCCCTTGTTTATTTTTTTGGTAGTTCGTTGGAAAGAAAGAAAAACAGTCCACGAAAGGTCACAGCTCAAGTCATATGAGTGTAAGCTATTCATGAGCAGAGTCATAAGCTTACAATTAATACTTGTTGGGTCTGATAAGTACAGGGTTTCTATCTGTTGTAATGGATTTTGCATTGCTGTATAATGTCAGCTTTAGGAGATTTAGCTTGTTAGTAAGTAATAATTCAACACTAGACAACATGGGTGCACATCTAGATCTAGGGACATGACTTTGACCAAGTTTCTGGTTGTTGCCAGGCCTGCTCTTTGCTGGTTCAGATCCACAAAACTGTAAAATGTCTGCCTAATGGCCGGACTGAGGCACTGTGGGAAAGCCCCCAGGTCAGAGTAACCTTCCACCATCCGCAACTGCGCTTCAAGACCATGACATTGCTGTCAATAATAACATGCTCTTCGCCAAACTAAACTGACATTAAGCGAGCTGGGATTTAGATCAACATCTGTTTGCGACCGAGGGATTGCAACAACAACAGGTTTCGACATTCATGGGAATTTTGGTTAGAGTGCAGGCTGAAAGGTAAGAAAAACCAGAAGTCTCAGCATCTGGTCAAGTAATTGTTGAGTGACTGGTATTCATCAACAACCCTATTAGTGTCTTATTTAGTGGTATCAAACAAAGTCAAACTGTAACATTAAGGGCTAAAGCTGTCTTGCATTTTTAGGATATTATCTGGATAGATATCTGTCAAACATTAAGAGGAAACTGTCAAGCATCCCATGCACTCAGGCTGCTGGCACAGAAACTTTCCCTCCACACAGACCAGTAAGACGACTCCATACACAGAAAGTGTCGGGCACCGGCTGAAATCTCCTGTTATCATCCTCCTCAGGCTGCTGCCTCATGCCTTTGGACCCTGGTTGGTTTGTTTTTTGTCTCCAGTGTGCATCAGAGAGCAGTGTGTTCTTCCTGTTTTGAAAGGAGAGCAGCACTCTCGGGCCATGGAGCTGCCGTTCCCCGTGCCAACACAAATGGTAAAGGAAACAGCAGCACCCAGCTGGAGCCCCATTGGGCAACGGACAGAGATAAGGGGTGTGTTGGTTAATGCAATCTGATGCTCTGTCTGAAAAAAACACATTTCCACATCCACTGGAAAAGAATGAAATATATCACAGGGATGAAATGTGGGGATTACATGTAATGAAGACATTTACAAAAAAAAACAAAAAGGACCCGGTCTTAGTCATTTATGTTGAATTTAAGGCTTATAGAGAACAATTGAAGCTTAGCTTGAATGATGGAACCCATTCAGGTTTGTGCGAATGTGCCCAGATTTATCAAACCACCGTGTCCCATAGCACTTCAACTTTTAATTTTAATCAGCACACAACACTACTCAGCACTACATTTTGGCATAACTAAGCCCTATCATCATCTGTTTGTAACAGTGACCAATTCTCTCCACTAATCCACTAACTCTCACATGATGCTATGGCCAGCCAGATTTCCAAGCTCACCCCGCAGTCTCCACAACAATAGACTTGCTTGAAGGAAGTCATTTGGTTTTCGGAGCTTGAACTGTACCAACATGAACTGGCCTACAAGATTGTTGCAGTGGGCTTGAAACAATAAAAGGCTAGTTATATCAGCTACCAGCAGATTTAAAGTAGAAGTGTAAAACAATTACAGGAACTAAGGACAATTCTTATTATCAATGATATAATGTGCTGTTATCAAGGGATCGAGGAAATGTATTTATCATTATACAATGCAAGGCAAAATGAAAGTTTGTAGTTTCTTCATGCTACACACATAAAAAAAGATAATTAATTCATAGAATAACATAAAAGATCAATACAATAGAATAAACTATAATAAAACAATATGTACAGTTATTTATATTATATATGCACCTTGAATACACCCAGGAAATAATTTTGCTGTGCTTTTTTTAAATTTGCATCTGGTTGAATGTAAACAGCAGCAATATAAAGCACTATAAAAGATAGTGATGATATTATGGTTTCATCTAAACAGTGTCCATCCAGTTTGACTGCGTTTGAGCACCACCTCCTATTATAAAGTACACAAAAAATAATTTCTGTTCCTATTCATTTACTGTAGTAGTAATCAAAATATATCATTTGAAATACCTAAATTGGTATCACTATATCAGATCACCAAGCAGTTGTCTGTTGGAATAATTTAAGGATAGGTTGCTGCAGATTACCTTTATCGTATCATGTATATCCTTTACAAATGGAAACCAAAGGAGAGAGTTGAGGTGTCAGTGATACCACTGGGCTTTCACATGCAGTTGAGGAGACACTGATTGGACTGAACTACATCAACCATCGTTACACATTCATCTGAGAGCATGTGGTGTGCAGATATCAATAAAATATTTGACACTAATTGCCTACATATGTTTTTTATTTCTTTCTTGCAACCCACCAAAAATGTATGTAGTTTTTGGATTTTGGTTTTGTTAACAAGTATGTGTAATCCTTGTATATGAGACAGGTAAAAAGCAATTGCTGGATTTGCTATTTATGCACAGACTCAACTTAGAAACACTCAAGATTTAACGTCTTGTGTTGAATTCATAACTTTTGGACAGGATCTTAGCAAGTACTCAACATTATAAGATTAAAATGTCTTAAAAATACTACAGCCAATTATCAATGTGTGTAAATGTGTCCACTTTCTGTATATGCACCTAATTCCATTACATGTTTCTATCCCCTGAGCTTTGCCCGCGGTGCACTCTTGTATACATCCTGACAAAGGCCATTTGGGTTTTTTTGCCAACCCATGTGTGGATTCTTATCTTTGGCTTCTTTGTCAGGACAAAAGGTACAATGTACACTTTTATGAGCCTTCAACAGGTCAAGCGTAGCTCATGTTATGGTTTGATATTTAAATGTCTGTTCACTCTTCTTTACTGCTGCACTGTTTCAAAACGAATAAAATGCCAGCAGAGCTTGAAGTTCCTTGAAGAAACAAATAAAATACACATGACCCCAGAGGACTGTTACAGTTCCTGCAAAGCTGACAGCGAACTTGGCATTACCAGACATTTTCTTTTCGGCCTGATCGCCTTTCATTTGAGTTAATGGATGAGAAAAAGCAGGCCTAACAGAAACACAATTTCGCTATTTTGTGTTGGAACAATAGAAAGCGAGGAGGTATTCATTCACACTCGCTTTGCTGACAGCTTATGAGAATTTTCATCCTCTGCACTCTCACTCTCTTTCTTTTGTGCTACATGATGGGCCCCTGTTACTCAATTACTAAAGGGTCCAAAATGAAAATGCCAATGAACAAAAGGACCATGCTTCCAAGTTAATAATTCGGCATAAAACCACCCCAGGGAGTCGCTAATGGGTCCTGGGTGGATTGAAATGCAGGTGGTAATATGAATTCTTTGGCAATAGCAAACATTCACCCAGTGGATCGCAAAATAAGAGAGGGAGAGCTGCAGTAAAACAAATTAAGAAATTGATATTTCTCTGAGGGAAAGGCATGCTGGATAGTCTCAGACCCTGGCAGCTTAAATGAGCACTGGGTGGCATATAAAAGCAATCACTGGAAAGAAAATGGATGGAAATTAAACGTCCTACCTTTCACCATAAATGCCAGCACTCCTTCATTACCAAGCACTGATATGCTCCTTGATGAATGCTGACACTGTAACATGTACGTTTTTTTTTCTGTACACTGAACAGAGTCAGTTTCTTAACCAGATGTCTTGATCAGATTATCTCCATTTGAAAGACACACACTCCATTGCCATACTTTGTGCAATAGAGAGCCGAAGGTCCAATTAGCTGAACTGTACATGATGTTTCGTGTCTGTTTAGTTTCATCAGACAGCTTTGCTAATACAACAGCTCAATGTTCCTGCCAGGTCCAAGAAACACAGATAAGAGTCCAGCAACAACAAACACCTTCCTCAGTCAATCACTGGCCAAACAATAGCCAGAGAGGACGCCGAGAACGGCCTGTCATCGGCGAACAGCCACCAGCAGCAACAAAGCTTGTTGTCGTCTAGATTCCTGAACAGTTGAGGAATGTCTGGCTTCACTGCCAACCACATACCTTCTCAACGGATTTGACTTTCCATGTACCAAGCAGGTATTTTCCTGATGTTATCTCTCTTCGGCTGTTGTGGTTTCAATGATGCTAAACCCTAACACTATAAAACATAATTTCTAACGTCATTCAAAAAGGAAAACTAGTCAAACCTACAAGAACTGTTTTTTGGGC